ATGTATCTTCGCCAATAATTGTCAGAAGTTAGAATTTCTTTCAACATTATGAAGCCCTTTTATATATTTTGATCCTGCATCAAAAGCTGAAAATATGTAGTCTCGAAGTCATTTCGAGAAATTGACGGTTTAAGTTTCTGTTTCCAAATTCAAACGGATGTATCTTCGCCAATAATTGTCAGAAGTTAGAATTTCTTTCAACATTATGAAGCCCTTTCTATATATTTTGACCCTGCATCAAAAGCTGAAAATATGTAGTCTCGAAGTCATTTCGAGAAATTGACGTTTTAAGTTTCTGTTTCCCAATTCAAACGGATGTATCTTCGCCAATAATTGTCAGAAGTTAGAATTTCTTTCAACATTATGAAGCCCGTTTTATATATTTTGACTCTGCATCAAAAGCTGAAAATATGTAGTCGCGAAGTCATTTCGAGAAATTGACGTTTTAAGTTTCGGTTTCCAAATTCAAACGGATGTATCTTCGCCAATAATTGTCAGAAGTTAGAATTTCTTTCAACATTATGAAGCCCTTATTATATATTTTGACTCTGCATCAAAAGCTGAAAATATGTAGTCTCGAAGTCATTTCGAGAAATTGACGTTTTAAGTTTCTGTTTCCAAATTCAAACGGATGTATATTCGCCAATAATTGTCAGAAGTTAGAATTTCTTTCAACATTATGAAGCCCTTTTTATATATTTTGATTCTGCATCAAAAGCTGAAAATATGTAGTCTCGAAGTCATTTCGAGAAATTAACGTTTTAAGTTTCTGTTTCCAAATTCAAATGGATGTATATTCGCCAATAATTGTCAGAAGTTAGAATTTCTTTCAACATTATGAAGCCCTTTTTATATATTTTGACTCTGCATCAAAAGCTGAAAATATGTAGTCTCGAAGTCATTTCGAGAAATTGACGTTTTAAGTTTCTATTTCCAAATTCAAACGGATGTATCTTCGCCAATAATTGTCAGAAGTTAGAATTTCTTTCAATAATTGTCAGAAGTCAGAATTTCTTTCAACATTATGAAGCCCTTTTTATATATTTTGACTGTGCATCAAAAGCTGAAAATATGTAGTCTCGAAGTCATTTCGAGAAATTGACGTTTTAAGTTTCTGTTTCCAAATTCAAACGGATGTATCTTCGCCAATAATTGTCAGAAGTTAGAATTTCTTTCAACATTATGAAGCCCTTTTATTGTTATTATCGCGAATAGTATAATAATATGTTAAAGCAACAATGTTTACATAGTTCTGTATGCACAATGTACATAGAGTTACCATAACATCCTGTATGCGAGTCTCTTAACAGATCACTGAAAAGACGAGCAGAACATTGGTTAGCGTAATTTAGTCGTTCCATTCCATTAAGCAGAGAAGGTCGCGCAGCGCTCGACGAAAAGTTATTAAAACGTTTATATGAACATAACCTCTATAGAAAACTCCTCGTGTTATTAATGGTCATGGGCCCGGTGTTTCGATCAGTAAGCCTGCACCCATAACCGAAAATATCCAACAGGTTATGGGCCCAGCACGCTTCCACTGCGCGGAAAATTATAATAATCACTTGAGAACAATAGAAGGTTATAAATGCAAAAAGTGAAAAAATGAGTGCCTTTATAAAAATAGAACCACTGTGCGCAGAAAATTACGATACATGGAAATTACAAATGCAAGCCGTACTAGTGAAGAACGACCTATGGCAGTACGTGGACGGCACTAAGAAGTGCCCTCTCACGGACGGGAACGACTCCGCCGTATGGAAAACGTATGACGAAAAAGCACGTGCGGATATAGTGTTGGCGATTAGGCCATCCGAATTGGCCGTAATTGAAGGATGTACGTCAGCTGCCAACTGCTGGACAAAGCTTAGGGAAACATTTCAATCAAGAGGACCAGTGCGGAAAGCATCTCTCCTGAAGAAAATCGCATTGTCGCGGCTAAGTGAAGATGGCAATGCGCGCCAACATGTGTACGAGTTCTTCGAGGCTGTGAAGCAACTCAGAGAAATTGGCGTGACAATAGGCGATGATTTGCTCAGCATACTGCTGCTTTACAGTTTGCCCGAATCATACGAAACGTTTCGGTGCGCAATGGAAGCAAGAGATGATCTTCCAAGGTCAGATGTTCTAAAAGTAAAAATACTAGAAGAAGTAAATGCGCGCAAAACTAAGTGTGAACGTGAAGAACAAAACGTAATGTTCGCTCACCGACAAAACGGTAAACGCGATAAGCCGACAAAAATGCGAGAGAACAGAAAATGTTTTACTTGCAATAAAACGGGACATATAGCGCGCAACTGTCGTAACAAGGCAAAAGGCAAAGGCGAAGAGCCAGAGAACCAAAGAGAGAGAGCAAAGAGAGCTGAAGAAGCCACGCTCGCTTGTCAGACCAATTTCTGTGTAAATAAAGTTGGTATGTGGTGCCTAGACAGTGGATGTACGGCGCATATGACTTCAAATGTGGATTCCTTTGAAAATATCGCAATGATCGAAAAGACATTGCATTTGGCAAACAATGAAACGACACATATCAGTGGAGTCGGTGATGTACGAATCGCAGTTAAAGAAAATCAAACAAAAGAGAATGTAACTCTGAGTGAAGTGCTTTGTGTGCCCGATCTGAGACAAAGTCTGCTGTCGATCGCAAAGATCACAGACAGAGGTTACGAGGTCCATTTCAGAAAAAACGATGCGTTGATAATGAAAAACAATAATATGGTTTGGTTGCGAGCAAAAAGATATGGAAACCTATACTACTTGGACAGTGAGCGGATCCAAGCAAACAGCATAGAAGGGCGCAGTCAAAAGAATATTGACATGTGGCATTACCGCATGGGACACTTAAACGAAGGAGATTTAAAGAGCCTGGCGAAAAGCGGCAAAGTTTACGGTATGAATGTCAAAGACAACGAAAAGTTGTCGAAATGTGAAGTATGTATAAGTGAGAAACAAACTACAAAAACTTATAAAACTACAACTGATAAGAGAACGACTGATTTGCTCGAAATTATACACAGCGACGTGTGCGGGCCAATGAGGAAAGAGTCCATGAGTGGTTACAGATATTATGTAACCTTTATCGATGATCAGTCAAGATATTGCGAGATATATTTCCTTAAACAAAAATCTGAGGTGTTTAAAATGTTCAAGCAATATAAAGCAGAAGTGGAAAACTTCACCGGAAGGAAAATAAAAGCACTACAATCGGACAACGGAACCGAATATTGCAACGTGGAGTTTGATAAGCATGGCATCCGGCGTAGGCTTAGTTCCCCATATACGCCGCAGCAAAACGGATTGGCAGAGAGGCAAAACAGAACTCTTGTGGAAATGGCTAGGTGCATGATGAGACAAGCGGGAGCGCCTCCAATGTTTTGGGCAGAAGCTGTAAACACAGCTTGCTACATTCGCAACAGGTGCCCAACGAAAGGACTATCTGGAGGGATTCCCTACACCATGTGGACGGATAAGATCCCGACTCTGGCCTACATGCGAACGTTTGGCACAAAGGCATTTGCGCTTGAGAAAGGCGTCAAGAAAGGCAAATTCGATTCCAGATCTGAAGAGTGCATTCTGCTGGGATATGCAACAAGCTCGAAAGCGTATCGGTTATACGTGCCGGAAAGGCACAAGGTGATCATATCTAACGATGTAAAATTCTTGGATATTCCAGGTTTCAAAACGAAATATGAAGAATTCTATGGCAAAGAAGACATTGACGTCGTCATCACAACAAATGAGCCAAGTGAGCACTGTGAGGATGCGATGGACGAATCCGAAGAGGAGAAGCAAGAACTACACAATCCGCGTCGCGGTCGGGGGCGTCCAAAAACTATTCGGACGGGTCAACGCGGAAGGCCACGAAAATTGTACAAAGAGGTACGATGCAGCAGCAGCAGCAATGATGAGGCGGGAGACGCCAAGGCAGAGGATGACATCATTGAGGAGTGCGAAATGGCTTTTACATGCGTAGACGGTCCGTCTACGTTGCAAGAAGCTAAAAATTCTAAGGAAGCAGACGCGTGGACTAAAGCAATCGAGGACGAGTTTTTAGCTCAAGTGCTAAATGAAACGTGGGACCTCGTAGAACGACCAGCCGATCGTAAAGTTATCGGCAACAGAATGGTATTTCGCACAAAGGATGACGGCAGCGCTGCAGGCAAGAAGAAAGTGCGTCTGGTGGCCAAGGGATACGCTCAGCGACCAGGAGAAGATTATCATGACACTTATTCACCCGTAGTACGATTTACATCGGTCAGACTGCTTATATCATTAGCAGTAGAAGCTGACATGGAAATCCACCAAATGGATGTGGTTACGGCATATTTAAATGGAGAGCTCGAAGAGAGCGTCTTCATGGATATACCAGAGGGATTTACCGACTTCATGGAAAAGTTAGAATCAGGATCACCGATCGGAACAAGGGACACCCCTCAAGGAGCGGCATATCTAAAAGCCGCTGCAGCTTGGCGGAAAGGAATAAGCAAATCCAAGAATCCTGTTTGTCTAATACGGAAGGCCCTTTATGGACTGCGGCAATCTGGCCTACGTTGGTACCACAAGTTGACCACTAAATTACTGGAGAGTGGATTGGAGCCCACCAAACAGGACCCATGCTTATTTGTAAGGAGACAAGGGAGCAAAACTCTGCTTATCACGATATACGTTGATGACTTATTGTTAGCATCAAATGACCCTACGTGGATGGAAAATATTTAGGCAGATCTCTGCAATGCTTTTGAGATGAAGGATATCGGCAAAGTGAGGACTTGCCTAGGCATACAATTTAAGCAGAGCATAGACAAGCACTGGATATTCATTTCACAGGAACAATATGTTGGTGCCATATTGAAGAAATTTGGCATGATCAAATGCAAGCCTGCATTGACACCAATCGAGGCAAAGTGTAACCTGAAGCGTCCTGAGATTATCGACGAAGGCGAAATTTAATGTTTCTTTCAGTTACGACACGCCCGGATATTGCGTTTGCTGTGAGCTATATGAGTCAGTTCAACAGCAATTACAATGTCGAGCACTGGAAGGCAGCGAAACGCATATTGAGGTATCTAAGCGGTACAAAGAAATTGGGCCTGTTATACAAGCAAACAGGCGAGAATCTATTTGGCGTGGTCGATGCAGATTGGGGAGCGAATCTAAGCGATAGGCGCTCCTATTCAGGGCAGGCGTTCATACTATCTGGAGCAGCTGTGTGCTGGGAGGCACGCAAGCAACGTACTGTGGCACTATCGAGTACTGAGTCGGAGTACCTTGCGATGTCCGAAGCGGTCAAGGAGGCACTATATCTGAAGGCCCTACTAAACAGTGTTGGCAAAGACTGCGCCACGGTGCGTCTTTATAATGACAATCAGAGCGCACAAAAACTGGTTAAAGGCTTCGGGTTTCACCCGCGTACAAAACATATAGATGTACGCCACCACTTCATCAAGCAAAAATACCTGAGCGGCGACATTGAAGTGGAGTATATGCAAACAGAACAGATGCCAGCAGACGTCCTGACGAAAGGTCTGAGCGGGACCAAACATCGCGAATGCATTTCGAGTTTGGGAGTTACATATATTTAAGTTAAGAGTATTGTTACTTTAAGGGAGCGTATTGTTATTATCGCGAATAGTATAATAATATGTTAAAGCAACAATGTTTACATAGTTCTGTATGCACAATGTACAGAGAGTTACCATAACATCCTGTATGCGAGTCTCTTAACAGATCACTGTAAAGACGAGCAGAACATTGATTAGCGTAATTTAGTCGTTCCATTCCATTAAGCAGAGAAGGTCGCGCAGCGCTCGACGAAAAGTTATTAAAACGTTTATATGAACATAACCTCTATAGAAAACTCCTCGTGTTATTAATGGTCATGGGCTCGGTGTTTCGATCAGTAAGCCTGCACCCATAACCCCAAGTTTCCAACATGAAGCCCTTTTTATATATTTTGATTCTGCATCAAAAGCTGAAAATATGTAGTCTTGAAGTCATTTCGAGAAATTGACGTTTTAAGTTTCTGTTTCCAAATTCAAACGGATGTATCTTCGCCAATAATTGTCAGAAGTTAGAATTTCTTTCAACATTATGAAGCCCTTTTTATATATTTTGACTATGCATCAAAAGCTGAAAATATGTAGTCTCGAAGTCATTTCGAGAAATTGACGTTTTAAGTTTCTGTTTCCAAATTCAAACGGATGTATCTTCGCCAATAATTGTCAGAAGTTAGAATTTCTTTCAACATTATGAAGCCCTTTTTATATATTTTGACTCTGCTTCAAAAGCTGAAAATATGTAGTCTCGAAGTCATTTCGAGAAATTGGCGTTTTAAGTTTCTTTTCCAAATTCAGACGGATGTATCCTCGCCAATAATTGTCAGAAGTTAGAATTTCTTTCAACATTATGAAGCCCTTTTTATATATTTTGACTCTGTATCAAAAGCTGAAAATATGTAGTCTCGAAGTCATTTCGAGATATTGACGTTTTAAGTTTCTGTTTCCAAATTCAAACGGATGTATCTTCGCCAATAATTGTCAGAAGTTAGAATTTCTTTCAACATTATGAAGCCCTTTTTATATATTTTGACTCTGCATCAAAAGCTGAAAATATGTAGTCTCGAAGTCATTTCGAGAAATTGACGTTTTAAGTTTCTGTTTCCAAATTTAAACGGATGTATCTTCGCCAATAATTGTCAGAAGTTAGAATTTCTTTCAACATTATGAAGCCCTTTTTATATATTTTGACTATGCATCAAAAGCTGAAAATATGTAGTCTCGAAGTCATTTCGAGAAATTGACGTTTTAAGTTTCTGTTTCCAAATTCAAACGGATGTATCTTCGCCAATAATTGTCAGAAGTTAGAATTTCTTTCAACATTATGAAGCCCTTTTTATATATTTTGACTATGCATCAAAAGCTGAAAATATGTAGTCTCGAAGTCATTTCGAGAAATTGACGTTTTAAGTTTCTGTTTCCAAATTCAAACGGATGTATCTTCGCCAATAATTGTCAGAAGTTAGAATTTCTTTCAACATTATGAAGCCCTTTTTATATATTTTGACTCTGCTTCAAAAGCTGAAAATATGTAGTCTCGAAGTCATTTCGAGAAATTGACGTTTTAAGTTTCTTTTCCCAAATTCAAACGGATGTATCTTCGCCAATAATTGTCAGAAGTTAGAATTTCTTTCAACATTATGAAGCCCTTTTTATATATTTTGACTCTGCATCAAAAGCTGAAAATATGTAGTCTCGAAGTCATTTCGAGAAATTGACGTTTTAAGTTTCTGTTTCCAAATTCAAACGGATGTATCTTCGCCAATAATTGTCAGAAGTTAGAATTTCTTTCAACATTATGAAGCCCTTTTTAATATATTTTGATTCTGCATCAAAAGCTGAAAATATGTAGTCTCGAAGTCATTTCGAGAAATTGACGTTTTAAGTTTCTGTTTCCAAATTCAAACGGATGTATCTTCGCCAATAATTGTCAGAAGTTAGAATTTCTTTCAACATTATGAAGCCCTTTTTATATATTTTGATTCTGCATCAAAAGCTGAAAATATGTAGTCTCGAAGTCATTTCGAGAAATTGACGTTTTAAGTTTCTGTTTCCAAATTCAAACGGATGTATCTTCGCCAATAATTGTCAGAAGTTAGAATTTCTTTCAGCATTATGAAGCCCTTTTTATATATTTTGACTCTGCATCAAAAGCTGAAAATATGTAGTCTCGAAGTCATTTCGAGAAATTGACGTTTTAAGTTTCTGTTTCCAAATTCAAACGGATGTATCTTCGCCAATAATTGTCAGAAGTTAGAATTTCTTTCAACATTATGAAGCCCTTTTAATATATTTTGACTCTGCATCAAAAGCTGAAAATATGTAGTCGCGAAGTCATTTCGAGAAATTGACGTTTTAAGTTTCGGTTTCCAAATTCAACCGGATGTATCTTCGCCAATAATTGTCAGAAGTTAGAATTTCTTTCAACATTATGAAGCCCTTTTTATATATTTTGATTCTGCATCAAAAGCTGAAAATATGTAGTCTCGAAGTCATTTCGAGAAATTGACGTTTTAAGTTTCTGTTTCCAAATTCAAATGGATGTATCTTCGCCAATAATTGTCAGAAGTTAGAATTTCTTTCAACATTATGAAGCCCTTTTTATATATTTTGACTGTGCATCAAAAGCTGAAAATATGTAGTCTCGAAGTCATTTCGAGAAATCGACGTTTTAAGTTTCTGTTTCCAAATTCAAACGGATGTATCTTCGCCAATAATTGTCAGAAGTTAGAATTTCTTTCAACATTATGAAGCCCTTTTTTATATATTTTGACTCTGCATCAAAAGCTGAAAATATGTAGTCTCGAAGTCATTTCGAGAAATTGACGTTTTAAGTTTCGGTTTCCAAATTCAAACGGATGTATCTTCGACAATAATTGTCAGAAGTTAGAATTTCTTTCAACATTATGAAGCCCTTTTTATATATTTTGACTCTGCTTCAAAAGCTGAAAATATGTAGTCTCGAAGTCATTTCGAGATATTGACGTTTTAAGTTTCTGTTTCCAAATTCAAACGGATGTATCTTCGCCAATAATTGTCAGAAGTTAGAATTTCTTTCAACATTATCAAGCCCTTTTTATATATTTTGACTCTGCATCAAAAGCTGAAAATATGTAGTCTCGAAGTCATTTCGAGAAATTGACGTTTTAAGTTTCTGTTTCCAAATTCAAATGGATGTATCTTCGCCAATAATTGTCAGAAGTTAGAATTTCTTTCAACATTATGAAGCCCTTTTTATATATTTTGACTCTGCATCAAAAGCTGAAAATATGTAGTCTCAAAGTCATTTCGAGAAATTGACGTTTTAAGTTTCTGTTTCCAAATTCAAACGGATGTATCTTCGCCAATAATTGTCAGAAGTCAGAATTTCTTTCAACATTATGAAGCCCTTTTTATATATTTTGACCCTGCATCAAAAGCTGACAATATGTAGTCTCGAAGTCATTTCGAGAAATTGACGTTTTAAGTTTCTGTTTCCAAATTCAAACGGATGTATCTTCGCCAATAATTGTCAGAAGTTAGAATTTCTTTCAACATTATGAAGCCCTTTTTATATATTTTGATTATGCATCAAAAGCTGAAAATATGTAGTCTCGAAGTCATTTCGAGATATTGGCGGTTTAAGTTTCTGTTTCCAAATTCAAACGGATGTATCTTCGCCAATAATTGTCAGAAGTTAGAATTTCTTTCAACATTATGAAGCCCTTTTTATATATTTTGACTGTGCATCAAAAGCTGAAAATATGTAGTCTCGAAGTCATTTCGAGAAATTGACGTTTTAAGTTTCTGTTTCCAAATTCAAACGGATGTATCTTCGCCAATAATTGTCAGAAGTTAGAATTTCTTTCAACATTATGAAGCCCTTTTTATATATTTTGACTCTGCATCAAAAGCTGAAAATATGTAGTCTCGAAGTCATTTCGAGATATTGGCGTTTTAAGTTTCTGTTTCCAAATTCAAACGGATGTATATTCGCCAATAATTGTCAGAAGTTAGAATTTCTTTCAACATTATGAAGCCCTTTTTATATATTTTGACTCTGCATCAAAAGCTGAAAATATGTAGTCTCGAAGTCATTTCGAGATATTGGCGTTTTAAGTTTATTTTCCCAAATTCAAACGGATGTATCTTCGCCAATAATTGTCAGAAGTCAGAATTTCTTTCAACATTATGAAGCCCTTTTTATATATTTTGACTCTGCATCAAAAGCTGAAAATATGTAGTCTCGAAGTCATTTCGAGAAATTGACGTTTTAAGTTTCTGTTTCCAAATTCAAACGGATGTATCTTCGCCAATAATTGTCAGAAGTTAGAATTTCTTTCAACATTATGAAGCCTTTTTATATATTTTGACTCTGCTTCAAAAGCTGAAAATATGTAGTCTCGAAGTCATTTCGAGATATTGGCGGTTTAAGTGTCTGTTTCCAAATTCAAATGGATGTATCTTCGCCAATAATTGTCAGAAGTTAGAATTTCTTTCAACATTATGAAGCCCTTTTTATATATTTTGATTCTGCATCAAAAGCTGAAAATATGTAGTCGCGAAGTCATTTCGCGAAATTGACGTTTTAAGTTTCGGTTTCCAAATTCAACCGGATGTATCTTCGCCAATAATTGTCAGAAGTTAGAATTTCTTTCAACATTATGAAGCCCTTTTTATATATTTTGACTCTGCATCAAAAGCTGAAAATATGTAGTCTCGAAGTCATTTCGAGAAATTGACGTTTTAAGTTTCTGTTTCCCAAATTCAAACGGATGTATCTTCGCCAATAATTGTCAGAAGTTAGAATTTCTTTCAACATTATGAAGCCCTTTTTATATATTTTGACTCTGCATCAAAAGCTGAAAATATGTAGTCTCGAAGTCATTTCGAGAAATCGACGTTTTAAGTTTCTGTTTCCAAACTCAAACGGATGTATCTTCGCCAATAATTGTCAGAAGTTAGAATTTCTTTCAACATTATGAAGCCCTTTTTATATATTTTGATTCTGCATCAAAAGCTGAAAATATGTAGTCTCGAAGTCATTT